TTTTTCTTCTGGTCTACGAATAGCATTCCAATCCCCTGCTATAACCACTTGCTCTCCCAATTCAGTTTATCTGTCTGCAGTATCCCCCACTGGCCTTCCCTTATATCCCTGGTAACACTCATATAAACAAAGATACCCCACATTCTCTCCCCTTCCTTGTTTATAAATTCCACCTGAATACAAAAGTCCCTACAAACCACCTGAATAACAACCAGCCCTTCTCCCATAGCAGCAACAAACCTCCTCTCACACCAATAGGATCAACTATACAACAATGATCTAGGAAACCCAGCTTCTTAGCTACCGCTTTAACAAAATGATTATTGTTTTTAGTCTCAGAAAGAAAAAAACAAACTTGGGTGGTGAGTCCTGAGAGACTCTCGTATTTGGGAAACTGAGAGACTCTCGTATTTGATGTGTATTAGTGATTAGCTTGGATTAGTGGATTTCTAAATTTATTTTTTGTTGCTCTTTGGGATATATATTTACTGTGTGGGATAAGTTGTAAGTTGTTATTATTGTTAAGTGATAACTGTTAACTTGTTATTTTTTGAATTTTAAAACTTATAGAGTATTTCCAAATTTTATTATTTGAAACTTAAAATTCTTTGTGAGAACTGTTTGGAATTTATATTTATTGTTTTCATTATTTGAAACTTATAATGAGTTCGAGAAAACAACTATCTTGATATCAAAAGAGGAAAAAAAAAGAAAACCAATGAGGATATAACTCAGTCTTTAAAAGGTTGAATGGATAAATTCATTCTTAAAAAGAGTGATGTTCCAATTGAAACTAACACGATAGAAGATAATCCTATAAATAATGAAGAAAATATAACCGATAATGACGTGAATGAAGGTACCAATGATCCAAGTGAGAATCAAAATGATAAAAATGAGGCTAGAGCTTTTGAAGTTGTTGGTGAAGAAAAAAGGTTTGTAAATATATTTGATCCTAGAGTTTGGGATTCTTTAGATGATAAAATGCGATGTTTATTAGTGCAAACGGGACCTAAAAGAGAATCTAATTTTCAATACCCCCTTGATGGAATTTCTAGGCACTTTTCTATTGCATTTTATGTACGAACAATATCAAGTGGTGAGACTTGTGATAGAAAATGGTTAATATACTCGAAAGAATTAGATAAACTGTTTTGTTTTTGTTGTAAGTTGTTTAAAAATATGCCATAAGGAAATCAATTAGCTAGTGAGAGTAGCAAAGATTGGAAACATATGGGTGCGAAGCCTATTGAGCATGAAAATAGTATCGAACACCTTTCTAACATGAGAGCATGGGTTGAACTAAAGGCGAGATTGGAAAAGATTCAAACTATTGATAACGAATTGCAAGATCAAATAAAAAAAAGAGACTTCGCATTGGAGAGATGTAATGCTTAGAATTATTGTTGTCGTTAAATGTCTTGCTACAAATAACATGCCTTTCATGGTTCAAAAGAAAAACCATATGAAGATTCAAATAGTAATTTTTTAGGCCTACTCGAGATGATTGCGGAGTTTGATCCAATAATGCGAGATCATTTTCAACTTATTAGAGATAAAGAAGTTCATAATCATTACCTTAGTCATAAAATTCAAAATGAATTGATAGCTACCTTAGCATCTAAAGTGAAAAGTGTGATTGTTGAAAAAATTAAAAAGCCCAAGTTTTTTCTCTGTGATAATTGATTGTACACCTGATGCAAGTCACAAAGAACAAATGACTTTGATTATAAGATGTGTTGATGTGTCGATCAATCCTATACGAGTTGAGGAGTTTTTTTTTAGTGTTTATACATGTGGAGAATACTTCTGGGTTGGGGATTTTTAATGAATTGCAAGACGTGCTTAAGACACTTGATTTGGACATTAATAATGTGAGAGGACAAGGCTATGATAATGGTTCTAATATGAAAGGAAAAAACCAAGGCGTTCTTGACATAAATCCTAGAGCCTTTTACATTTGATGTGGTGCACATTGCCTTAACTTGACACTTTGCGATATGGTTAAATCTTGCTTAAAAGCAAAATCATTTTTTGGGGCATGTCAATGCATATATACAGTGTTTGCAAATTCAACAAAGCGTTGGAATCTTTTGCTTGAATATATTGATGGTTTAACTTTGAAATCTCTTTCTACTACCCGTTGGGAGAGTCATATTGGAAGTGTCAAAGCCATAAAATCTCAAATATTTCAAATAAGAGACGCTTTATTTAAATTCGCTGAAATTAGTGAAGATCCTAAATTGAGTAGGGATGCTGAAAGCTTAGCGTCAGGTGAACTTTATAGTTTCGAATTTTTGGTGAGTTTGGTTGTTTGGTATGATGTTTTGTATAAAATTAACATGGCTAGTAAAACACTACAATCTGAGGACATGCGTATTCATGTTGCTGTGAAATGTTTGAATGGAATTATTTAATACTTTGAGAAATATAGGAATATTGGATTTGATTCAGCTATGATTACTGCTAAAGAGATTGCTAATAAAATGGGCATTGAACCTGTCTTTCTGGTAAGACGTCGTATATGTAGAAAAAGACATTTTGATGAAACTCTAAACACTGAAGGAGAAGAGCACTCAGCTCAAGAATCATTTAGAACTGATTATTTTCTTGTTGTAGTCGACATGGCTATTTCTCAACTGAAAAACAGATTTGAACAAATGCAATTTTTTCAATCTATGTTTGGTTCCTTATTTGATGCGGCAACTTTAGTTTCATTGGATGATGAAGAATTGAAAATATCTTGTATGAACCTTGAAGTGGCTTTAAAAGTTAATGATGTTTCGGACATTGATGGAAAATGCTTATGTTCAGAATTACAAGTATTGCAACTAATGTTACCGAAGGGATCATATGAAAAAAATGAGCCATGGACATCCATTAAAATAATACAATTTGGAAAAGATATGGATATGTTCCCCCATGTTATGATTGCGTATAGATTATTATTGACTTTGCCTGTAACTGTAGCATCGGTTGAAAGAAGTTTTTCTAAATTGAAGTTGTTGAAGTCTTATTCGAGAACATCCATGAGTCAAGATAGATTGAACGGGTTAGCTATTCTGTAACACCCCGCCTACTTATTCTAGAAATATTAAATCAGAGTAAATTTTTGCTTTTTATTTTCGAAAAACTCTTTAACTTTTAATTTCAAAAATACTCGTACTAACTCGCGAAATGTTACTAACTTAAACTCTTTCTCATTCAGACGTAAATAAAAACATGCAACCTAATCAAATCCGTTATATAAAAGTACCACGTAGATAAAGGCATTATACATGCATAAGTCTGAAAATCTCATAACACATACTAAGTCTGAAATGTGCGGAAGCTGAAACATAATATGTCTACGCATAGTAATAATAAATGTTCAATGAATGACATGTAGATGCGTTACAAAAAGACTACTAATGACCACGCGCCACTGCTGCTCACGCGCCCCGTGCCTCTCCGTCACCTGAAAAACGTAATGGGGGCGTGAGCAAAACCACTATGCTCCGCAAAGACCAGTACTTAATTAAACAACATCGTTAACAACTTATCATGACTTTAAGTATATAAGAACTGATCTGAACTGAAACTGTAACTGGGGCATCTGGTGGTCATAAAGACCCTGGGCTTAAAAGCCAATCATGTGCACACTCCGGGGGATCATTAAGGCCCGTTAAGGCCTCCCTCAGAACCACGGGGGATCATTAAGGCCCGCCACGGCCTCCCTCATGGCGAACTAACTATTTCTCATACATACCTCGGACATGGTACGAAAATTAAGGATGATGTATAACCAGTACGTGACCCCCACCTGGTAAACTTCTACTGATGCAAGTGCTGGCTGAATGGTAGCTGTCGGAGGCTCGACTCTCCTTAGGCTACACAAATTATTGAGCAGAAAGTACTAAGTACTAAGCTCACCTGAAAACTTGGTTCTAATTATTATATGATCTTACTAGGTTCTCTCGTTCGATTATAAAATCATTTAATCTGAATTTAGAGGACTTGAGCTATTTTGGAAAGATTTGTTGACTTTGAGGCATTCTAGAGTTCTCTGGAATATTTCTAAGTGTGATCTGCTTAACTGATTTATCTGATCTAGCTTATCTGACTGATCTGATCTTTATCTGAACTAGCTTGTTCTGATCTGACTTATCTGACTGGGTTCGGAAAAATAATGAATCTCAGTTCACGCTCAAACTGGTATTCCGAACTGCTATTCTCGAATCGTCCAGACTATCCAGACCGATTCAACTGAACTGGACCGGTGGCTTGATCTGAGCCGACCAGTTGCTCGTCTGACTGGGTGCAACTCAATTTAACCGTGGTATGGGTACATACGCACAGACACGACATCAACCGACGCACAACTTTTCTACTCAAATCTAGAGTTTATCCGGTCTGACCAGGAAAAGGTCGAACTAGGGTTCTCTACTCAACCGGCTATCTATCTCGGTTCAAGCCGAAAATCAAGCTCTAAGTTTAACGTTATTTCTAGTGATTTTAGGCCCAACAACTGCAGCTAATTCTCAACCGGCATAATATCACTATTTTTAATAAAAGCAGCTAAAATCCCAAATTATTAGGCATATCAAACAGTCTTCAAAATTTACGAAATTTTAAACATAACACATTTAGCATTTATAAGATTTTTTTTTCATAAAATTTCAACGCATTTCAAGGCCTTTAGCATTTTTCCAAAAACCGAGTATTTCGAGTACATACTAAATAAATCCAGATAAAGTAGTAAACGGGCACCAAAAATCACGAAACTTAACATATAATCTCCTCAACATGAATAAAGTCCAAGGTCAAAAGATCAAGTCTCAAGTCAACACTTATCCATTTAACTCGAAATTACTACGACCGACAATTTACTCGAACCGCTAGTTCGCCTATCAAACGGACACCAAAAATTGATCCGATTATATCTTAAGCCTCAAGTCAACGGGGAGAATTTTATCATATTTATTTCGATATTTTATCACGACTATATCAAAAGTCCTAAAAAATCGCTTTAAGTTCAAATGTTCCGATTTTTCTAAAAAATCACTCAAATCAATCATCTTTTATCTCTTATCTCATTATAATTATCAAGCCTAACCCGTATTATTCAAGCTTTAGCGATTATACCTCAAATTTTTGAAAACGGGCGGATCTAAAAATAGATCGGGCTAGGGAGAGGGAAAATGAAACGAAACGGTTCAAGCTAGGGCTGTCGAGTCAGACTCGGGCTATAGAGCTTGGTTTTGATGCTGAAAGTCACGGATCACGGGGCTGAGGTGCTGGCTCGTGGGTGTGGACCACGGATCCGGTCAGCTAAGTCAGAAAAGGTGCGGTCCCGAGCTAGCTCGCGCTATTACAAGTGAAGGTGGCTCGTTGTGGCTGGTTTTTCCTGACGTGATGGGGTTGTCGATCACCGGAGCTGGAGTAGACAAGGATGACGGGCTGTACTCACTGGAGATGGCGGTGGCAGGAGCTTGGCGCGGCTGCGGGCTTACCGAAAATGCTTGGAACGGGGCTGCGTGAAGGAGCTGTTGGTCGCTAGGCTTGTCGTGGCTGGAAACGGTTGTGAACCGAGCTGGAGAGGGTGCTCGTGAAGTCGTGTGCCACCGTGAAGATGGTGGAGAGCTCGGGCCGAAACTGGCGGCGTGAAAACGAGCTGGGAGATCTACTCGTGAAGGAGCTGCTCGCGGGATTCACGATTTCCGGCGGGGAGAAGCTTGGTAGGGTGGCTTGAGCTCAGATCTGTGGTGCTTTGCGGCGGTCCTTGGGGTTGCGGGCGCAGTGGTAGAGCTGGCTGGAGCGGGTTACCAACAACATCGTCGGAGATGGCGACTCACCTGCAGAGCTACGGGGATGCCAGAATTTCTGGTGGCTGGCCGGATTTCTAAAAGTGATGGTGGTGGTGGGAGATGAGAGCTTGAGAGCTTGAAGAAGATATAAATGGTGGCTAGGGTTTTATGTTCTTTGTGTTGGGAGAAAGAGGATTGTGTGCTATTTATACACATGTAATACTAGGGTTTGTCTTCCAAATTGGGCTTCACATTGGGCTTCTAAAAATAGGCTAGAATTATTAGTCGACTTGGTCTCGGAACATTTAAAATATTACTTGGGTTCGCAATTTAATTCGACTACTTGAATTACAAATGAGCCGACTAATTAAAATAAGTTTGGCTAGGAGTTAAAATGTCTTGATACTAAATAGTTGGGCCCAATAAAATAATTGAGCTTGTTCGGGAATTAAATAAATTCTCGATTTTTCTAATACCCGATAAAAATAACTAATCGAGTCTTAGACTTAGAATTTTATATCTCGTTTCCGAAATAATAAATCGAGCGCTCTTCTTATGGTTTAGACTTGAAATTAAATAAATTATGTGATTAATACTAATAATTCTTGACATAATTAAAATATTACTAATTTTGATAAATAAAGTCGAGCTAATTATATAATTTTGGGTCGGGGCTTACATATTCTATGCATTGAGAAAGCATATTATTGAAAGTCTTGATTATGGAGACATAATTGATGATTTTTCAGCTAAAAATGCCCGAAGAAGCCTTTTTAAGTAATTTCTTTGCTATTATTATTTTGTAGCCGCCGTATTGTTCTCGAAACATTATTTTTTGAGACATTATTTTTCCCTTGCAAGGTGAAAGTGCATCAAGACATTATCTTTAGGTTTTACTTGTTTGTAGTTTTATCCAGAGGTTGTAATGTTTTATAAATTGTAATTTTATGTTTCATTTTGTAGAAAAAGAATGTTGGAATATTAGCTTTGTCAAGACATTATCGTTTATACCCGTGATAAGTCTTCTATTAGATTTTATTTGTTTTTAGCTTTGTTGAGAGGTTGTATTATTTTAAAAATTGTAATTTTATTTTGTATTTATTTTTTTTATAAAAAGAATGTTGGATTGTTATTGGTATTATTTAAAATGTATTATATTATTTCTTAAAAAAAAAAAAAGACAATGTACTTGGGGTTGGGGCATTATTTTTATATTTGGCCCAGGGCCTAATAATTCATAGGACCAACTCTGATTGTCCTATTAATAGTTAATATTATTAGAAATTATTTTTATCATACAATTAATATAATTATATTTAACTATTTTATATAATATATTATTTATATATAACATATTATTAATAAACTAAAATTTATCTAAATTAACGTAAATAAAAAAACTAAGTCAATTTTATTTGTAAATATTTAAACATATTTAAATAATTTCAATTATTAAAAAGAGGTTAAATTCCGGCCGACTTCCGGCCACGGACTGCCTGACGGGACGACGAAGACGACAACTTTGGGATTGGCCGACCACCAACGTCAGCTGTTTACATGGAATAGTTTCGTGAGAGATTTTAGCGTTTAGATGAGTTAGTTCTCTTAGATAATCCATGACTAACATAAGTAACTCATATATATAAAGGCTAAAAATCTCTCACGGAACCATGTGACGGGGTTGTAGTCTCTTCCATTAATTGATACCTACCCCTTGAAATTATTTACGTTGACCAATGCAAATAAAGTCCTCCAAAAGCCAAGCACTGCACGACAGCACATAGGTTTGTGCAATATACCATCCACGTCCCTGAATTATATTCATACAATCCCAACTCGAATGCAGTTTTTGTTATATTTTGGTTAAAAATAAAAATGAGATGAATTACATGCAAATGTGTTAGGTAAAGTTTATACGTTACATCCATGAGTGTAAATTGATGAGTTACACAATGCATGAATGTAAGACAGGTTTCATCTAATTGCATGTAATAATAAGATAATGTTTCACAAAGTTGAAACTTATTGATTTAATTAGTTTAGATTAATTGAACATAAGTTTCATGTTGAGTTTAATGGTTCTTCATTCAAGAAGATGAGTTGTGAACATTAAAGAGATCATCTTACACTTATAACCACACATGGCAAATGACACCTATATATACTTCTCTT